GCTCACCAGCTGCTCCTTGGAAACCCTATACGGGGTCACTGTGGGTCGCAATCAACTCGACAGCACTTAACAACAGCCTCTCCATTTGCCTTCTCTTCTAGATAGCAATTTCACTTTTGTCCCATCTCCTCAAGCCCTCCCTGTCTCTGCCGATGACTCTTTCCTCGAAAAGATAGAAACAGCCAAAGATGGTTTCCATAAGCCCCCATCGTCACAACTGTGTCCATATTCTGTGCCTTCCTTACGGGCGTAAGGAACAAACTGTCCATGTTGTTGTTGTTGCCGTACACTATTGAGTTGATTCCGAACCATAGCACCCTCACATGACAGAGTAGAACTGCCCCACAGCGTTCCTTAGGCGGTCATCTTTACTGCAATAGATTACCACGAGGCTTCTTTCTCCACGACTTGTCCACTAGCTCCCATCACCACTTGGAAACTCCTGGGAACCATTGGTTCTCTGTCTTTTCACCTGCTTCCTTACTGTCTCACTTCTAGACTACACTCGTGAGCACTCACATGTGTTACAGACACTCCAATCTTAAAAGATATTTCTTCACTGGTCTCCCCCATCCTCTAGCTCCCCCACAGTTTCTCCACTCCTTTTACAGATGGTTCTTTACATGGCTTACCTGAATTTACTGTCGTGAATTCTCCTCTGGATTGTGTCACAGCCCACCTGGGTGGGCTTTCACCCCACCACCCCACCATCATTGTCCTCAGTGGTTCTCACAGGGCTCCATCCAAAGAGGAAGTGTGTTCATCAAGTGCGTTACTGTCTTAGCCTCTGACACACGCCGCTGCCCCCTTCTTGAAACACACTCTGACCTTGGTTCTCAGGACACGTAGCTTCCTGGTTTCAGCCAACCTCACTGGCCACGCTTTCTCAGGTGTGTTTTTCCTCTTCTTTCTTCTAGTCGAGTTCTGATCATTCAGCCATTGAAGCCAAGTCAAGTAGTATTATCTGAAAGTGTGAGTGTTCTTGTGCATCTCCCCTCACTTCATATCAGCTGGACGCTTCACTCTCTACGCTTCACTCTCTAGTTCTCTGTGGCTGTGTCACTGTCTCTGGGCCCAGGAGTCCCCAGGTCTTGCCACACTGCTGGCCAACCAGGTCTCCACCCGGATTCACAGGCGTCTATTGAACGTGGTCAGACTTAGCTCGAAGCTTCATTGCTGTTTTCCCCTCACTTCCCCTTATCAGTGACCAACGTGGTCACCAGTAGGACCACATGTCTGCTCCTGTATTCCTATTGAGTCTTAGTCTTGGAAGGGGGTTTGCCTTGAGGGGACCCGACCACTTGCCTTGATGTGAACAACTTGCTTGTTCTTGTAGTAGTCAGTTGGACTGCCGATATTGTTTTTGATATTTCCTGTCAGTCTTTCTTTTAAGAAGTATCGTCTATTCTTCTAGCTGCTCCAGGCTGGTCTGCTTGAAGTGGAAATTTCCCACCTCAGAAGATGCTGGATGGGGTTCAGGCTTCCACCTTTGGTCTTATATAATGCAGAGGCTCCACAGGAAGCCGCCTTCACTGGGCATGTTGTAGCCTCATTTTAGGGATTCCAATCAGTTATAGGCAGAAGACAGATTTACAAACTTTCTATGGTGATATTTCTGGCTATTCCTTTCTCTCCCCCTCAGTGTCTATTTTATAATGGCTGTTGTTGTTGTTAGGTGCCATCAAGTCTGTACCGACTCATAGTGGCCTTATGCACAGCAGAATGAAACACTGCCCGATCCTGGGCCAACATCACTACTGTTGCCACACTTGAGCCCATTGATGCTGCCACTTTGCCAAT